GGTCCGGACTGCTGTGTGGGATACTCTTCCATTCAGAATCAGCAGACTGCTGTGCAGGACAATCTCTCTTTCAGAGCCACTGGTCTGGACCGGACCGCGGAGCGGGGTGTTTGGCGCCCAGCCTCGCTTGGTCCTGGTGGGACTCTCCCCTGTTCGTCTCCTGGGACAGGGACCACCTGCTCGACGCTCCACGTGTCTCCCTGGCAATGCCGAGGCTTCGCGGAGCCGCCCCGGACGAGCTGGCTGGGGTCGAGACCCAGCAGCCCGGCCCGGCCCGCGAATACAGCGCCAGCTGCGTCACGTTTCCCAGTCCGGTGCTGCCCCCTGCCCCCGAGCAGCTGCGCGAGTCACAGCGGGGTCCGTCTCCAGAGCCGGTCCCCGCCACCCAGTCGGGCCGGGGCGCCCGTTCCGCAGCGAACACACGTGTGGCTCAGCCGCCTCCAATTCAGCAAAACCAAACTGCGCGGCCGAGGCAAACCCCTAGCGTGCAGATCGCGCCAGGACGGGCCAGCTTCAGCGCTGGAGACGACCCTCCCCGCCCTGTGCAGCAGGAGAAGCATTTCCAGCAGGCAAACCGACAGCTCCGACCGCCCAGGGGCTGGAGCAGAGAGAGGAGAAGGTCAGTGTGTTTATTTACCCCCCTGAGCTCAAACCTCCCCACCTGGTGTCTGCATCGGCCACGACTGCATGACTCCCAGCTCAGCTCTTTCTGCTGATGCACGTCACGCTTTTGCGGTTATAGGCAAAGGAACGCACAAAGTCGCCTACCGACTCCTGCTCGCGTCCACGTGCACACACACACAAACACGCACAGATACGGGCTGAGGACCCCCACATGCTACGGGAGCTGATGGAGGTGAGGAAGGCGACAGGAACAGGTACAGGCAGACAGGGCGGGACATGCTGCACAGGTGAGGGGCCGGGGCTGCGGCTCCGCCCCCCTGGCGGACGGCCGCCCCCGCTGCCCACAGCTCAGGGGCCCCCGGCGGCCCTCTCGAGGAGGACGAAGAAGCTCCAGATCGGTGGGACGCCCGAGCGTGCCGCCCGCCGTCTCCCAGCGCTCAAGCCCACCTCGCGGAACAGATCC